CAAAGCATCGGCACCGTGCACCGCCCATTATATCCTCCTCTTGTCTTCCCGTAAACCTCCTTCAAGTTTCTACAACCGTTAGCCTTATCCTTACTCGGAGCGATTACACCCTTTTCCCCGCTTCGGACCTCTTGAAACTCCCATGACCCGTCAAGTCCCGGTGCCGCAACCGAGACGGGGACGGCGTCCTCGAGCCCCTTGAGGGCTCTGACTATGAGAGTCCGGTGAGCCCACGGACATGGCAGGCCAACATAGAGGTGGAGACTTCGGCAGGAGAATCGGGTCGGGTCTATGCGGAACTTGGAAGAGGGTCTGGAGTAAGCACCGGAAGGATCTGAGGGAGCAAGCTGGGACATCATAAGGTGCCACGCCGAGTTCCAGGCCGAGCGGACGGTGGAGATGAGGAGGCCAGGCGGGAGCGAGGGACCCCATAGGAGCTTGGTGATGGTGTTGGGGATGGTAGGGTTTCGTTCCTGGTTAAGAGACATTCTAGGGTTGCCGCGGCGCGGGTAGAAGTTCGTTTTGGTGGGCAGGGAAGAAGGTAGGGAGCTGAGCAGTGAAGTGATGCAGGCCATGGCTTCCCTTATCGAGTCTGGTAACTGGCTTCTTCCCGTTCCATACTGCAACTTCTCTGAGCTCAACCAATCCGGTATTGAGGGATGCGGTGCGTTTTAATTTGTAAAATCTTAGAAGGGGGTAAGACGGCGTCGTTTCAGGTTAAAGAGAAAAATAAAAAGCGGCGTCGTCTTTTTCTAAGTGGATATATGGTTTCAGTCTAACATAATGGGAAATAAAATATCAAATGAACACATCCAGGGCGGGAAAACTCTGAAGCCCGCCATCGGAGCTTTTCCACTGCGGTAACGAGAACGGCGTCGTTCATGTCTCCTCAACCTAGTGGTTCGCCGTCTTCAATCGGCTTGGATTGAACCTCTTAAGCACTTTTACAATGATTTCAGTTTCGAAGCATCTGAAATCAAACTTGAAGGTATAACTTTTTCAGCTTTGCTCCTTGCCTTGTTGAATCGAAGTTAAAAATGGGATGGAATTATCCTGAGATATCCCTAGAAGAGATGGTGAAGCTAGTTAAAGGATTTGTTGATATATTGATTTTGGCATCTGGCTATCAGTCCTCCGGTCTTCTTGCTCACTGGGATGCTCGTAATATCATCAAAGCCTTTCAATGGGGCCTCTTCTTTGAGAATGTCAGTATTTTCTCTTCCTTTCCCCTCATGCTAGAAAAAAAATTTATGAGAATTTTGGATTTTGCTTATTTTCAAACTCAGTTCCCAAACAAGTCCTTGTACGTGATGACATCCAAAGGATGACGTTAAATTGGTTTCACTCATTCTCTGTGTACCTCTCTTATTATGTATAGATATTAATCTGTAA